CCCTTCCAAACACTATAAGCACTTCAGAAAGACTATCGCTTTTTGTTTTCTGAAGTTAGAGCTATGTCGACACTGCCGTTTCAGGGCGGGGTCATTTTGAGGACTTTCGTCCCGGATTCAGCTTTTGGCACATATGCCATGTTGACCGCCATGGTCATTTTAGCCTAAAACAGTTGAGATTACCTGTGCTAAATGAAACGCATACAAACTCATATACAGGTCCTAAACTAAATGGAAAATGGCCTGATATACTCAGGCTATAATATGCTACTCGACAGTAGGAGGGGACTTTATGAACAAGATACAAATACACTACTGTCGAGTAGCATACTAGCCTGAGTATATCAGGCCATTTTCCATTCTAAATTGTGGGTGGAGTCAAAACGTTGATAAATATAAAAATGTTATCGATTCTTTGGAGTTAAATTTTTATTAACAAGCTTTCGTCTCAATTTCAAACGTCTTTGTAGTTGGAATGGGCTACAAACATATGCCGCCTTCTGCCATTCTTCGTATAGTATTGCATATGGCAGTAAGTTGACTGTCACCTTACCCTTACTCTCCCACGCCCTTTGGCGGACAAGCAAGTTTTCATTGGTAATTTTTTTTGTACTGTTTAGGACAAATATATCTTCCACTTGGTGGGAACAGCTTGACCTTTTCAAAAAAATCAACTGTGAAAATAAAATGGCCACTTGATCTTATTTTATCTACGAAGATAAGTCGAACTTGGTGTTTCAAAAGTAGTGCTAGTGGCAAAGATGTAATACTTGGCAAAATATCTCGTGCTGGTGATATTACTATAGTAACCAGGTTATATGAGGTTGAGATAGAAGAACCAGCAACGTTGGTTTTGAAAAATGTCAATGGAAGTTATAATGGAACATATGTGTTTACCCTTCTATCACCTGGCCCCAGTACATATGAAGTTGCCGTTTTTATTGCAGGTACGGTTTCATTAATAATTCAAACTTTAAAGGTTTTCTTAAAATTCTGGTATAAAATTTTGCATCAGAGCATGCATGGCCTATGTACTAGTGATCGACTTTTAGACTTTATTCAAAATTTGCACAATTATACATACATACATATTAATACAACAGATATACAGTTACTACCCAAAAAAATATTAAATTACAATGATTACAAATAAATTATCGTGCCCAGTGATCAAAGTAGCCATGCAGAAGCTTTCGAGTTGATCACTGCCTATCACTAATATGAATTTATGAATTTAGAGCGAAACGGATTTATATGCATTTATATACAGTGGTTCTTAATTCTTATTATTATTGTAACTAATTTTGTGAAAGAAGTAAAAACTTGAGTATATTTTTTTCGAAATATAGATTATAGCGACTGAATTACACAATTTAATTACTAACGGTGTTTTCATTCAACTTAGTTTCCGTAACGGCCAAAACGTCAGGTTTTGATGACAAAGTATAAATCATATCATTGAGCAAGGTTAAATTTTTTGGCACGCTTCTTACATTACAGTGAAAAATCGAAAGTGCTTTAGATCCAGCGTTTTTAGTAACTCTATTAGTCTTATCTAAAAAGTAAAATTCTGAAGTAACGTTGGTAAACATTTGATCTGGGTCATTTTCATCTGAGTTCTGATTCGATCTGCTTTATCTAGATTAGGTAATATAAGTCTAATATTAAATTGTACAAGTCGCTATTGTGATCTAAATATTTTGTCGAAATATTAAATAAGGAATTATATTCCCTTTCATTTAAATTATAGAAATGCAGTTAAGTAATTATAATTAGTCTCTTAATTGAGATGCTTCCATTTATAAAATCTATGAGGGTGCGGAAATAACCGCGCATATTACTATTCATGCAGGTATAGTTTATTCAGTTAGTTGACTTAGTTCACATCATTTATTTAAAAATTGATCAAACTCATCACATGCAGGTTGTAAATCCTATATAGAACATTCGAGTCATCTGTTTGTCTTAATAGTATATCTTAATTACCATTAACAGTCCAGATGTATTTCCATTTGTTAGTACGTACGCTTAAACTCATTAATCTTACCAAATAGTTTCGAGACAACGTCTATTTTATCATGCATTATCTATTCAAACTTTATTCTTGTTCCTGATTGGTAAAAATCTCCGCGGTTATAATTCTCAATTTTCTGTAGTTAATTGTCATGCACGCACGCTGTATATAGCCCAAGTATAAAAAGTTTAGAAATTTTAAAAAGCCGAAACAAAATGGCTTACAGTAGATTTGCCTCTTTAATCAAAGGTAAATATTTATATGTGTTTCGTTATAAAAACCTTCGAATGCTTTTAAACAATATGCTCCTCTACCGTTTATAAACACTTACTGTTTCATTCGTAACATTTCAGAGAAACCAAATGTGATGATCAATTGTCCCAGTCATATCACATTAGATGAAGGTGAAGACTGCACATGTGTATGTACAGAACAAGGTGGAAACCCTCCAGCCAATCTGACTTGGTATAAAGATGGCAAACAGATTAATAACGCAAGTTATGGAGAAAACATATTAACTCTCACTAATGTGACTAAACTAGACATTGGAACATACAAGTGTGTGGCTCAGAGCTACACTCTGACGGATGAAGGATCAATTGAAGTAAATGTAACACTTAATTGTAAGTATGATTGATATTCGCATTCTACAGGGTGTATCAAAAAAAGCGCAATCCTCGACTGAAATGTAAATTGCTCAACAAATAATAGACGAAAACTTTAAAGTTTACATTCATTTTAAAGCGTAGCCATTCAGCTTTCTAACAGTGGGTTGCTTCTTAAATTTGACTCATTGGTTCGCGAGTAATAATACTTTACGTTATTGCGATTGGAGATTTAAAAAATTGAGATGGAATAACAAATCGTTCTCATGAAAATAACTGATTTTTTCATTAAAACAAAAAATTGTTGCATTTTATTAAATGGATTGTAACAA